GTAGAGGCACCCATGTGCACATATCTTGACTGAGAGCTAATTCTGGGGAGGCGATGCCGGGGCCGTACAGCAGCTTGATGGTGCTGCGCCGGCGTGCGTCCCGCCGGCCGCCGGGGCCGGTTTGGACTGTGTTTGGGGGGGTGGAGGGGTCCGGTGGCCGGTGTGATGGTCGTTTATGGCCCTCCTATCACCCACTTACCACCCCCGGCCGTGGGGGCCTCACCGGACGCCGCCATTCATGATTTCAAAGGGTCCTGCCGTCGCTCAGTCCGAATCACAGTGGGGCGGAGCCTACCCTGAGGCCAAAGCCGGCCGTGTCGACGACCGCCAGCCGAGTCGCGCCCGCCGCCACGCGGGGCTCGCTCAGCGTGGTGGTTCGACTGCCACACAAACCCGAGACGGTGATGGGAGGCGTCGTGTGGTGATCTCAGGCCCAGTGAGGTAGTGCATCTGACTATCCCGGATCCTGCTGAACAAGTTCCTCTTGTAGCTCGATCGGTCACACCGCCATCACCGCCGACGTCTCCCAGTGGGACGATGGAGAGGGGGGACGACACTGCTTCAGCAGCGTGCACCTATACCTCGATCCCGTAACTTTGTTATGACCTCCCCCCCCCCCCCCGCCCCCCAATGAGCACACCACTCCAGTGAGGGAGGGCGAGACGATCGAGGGGTCCCGTACTCACAAGGTCTGTCTGTGCGATGTACCTTCTTGTTTCTTATAAACCTATCTGCAGGGTTCCGACTTTGGGGGGGGGGGGGGTAGGGGTATGGGGGTATGGGTTAGAGGGTCAGCTACCACATGGGACTTCCGTTACACGCCCAAATGAGGGGTAGGGGGGGTAGGGGGTGGGCAAGCCCTACCCTACCCTCCTGACGCCTCGAACACTGATTGCTTGAGGGATGTGCACCTTTTGATCAAATGCCAAGTCCACCCATTGAGACGGCGCAGCTGCTCGCGGCGCAGACTGTTGAATTGCCGACGAGCCCGGCCCTCGGCAAAGTGCAGCGCTCGTGCTCGCGCGGGCTGGCATCGCTCCAGGTGTGCTCTTTGATGATCTCCGCCATGCTGATGCTCAATGCCGTCCAAGGAGCCGGTGCATGCATCACAGCACCAAGAGCAACACCCGGCACCCAGAGCGGCACTCTTTTGAAGGCTTCGGGTGCGCCAGATTTGGAGCTCACGTCGGAACCGGACGCAAGCGCCTGTCAAGCTCGCTGCGCCGGTACCAGTGGCTGCGCGTACTTTACCTGGTGGTCCGGTGATGGCGGCTGCCACCTGCAGGACGCGAACGCAAGCCCCATCCTCACGACGGAGACCAATGTCGCAGCCTGTCAAGCCCGCTGCGCCAGTACGACAATTTGCGCCTTCTTCACATTCTGGACGGGTGATGGCGGCTGCCATCTGTAGGCCACGGGCCGTGGCGCCCATCCTCTTGCCAGCTACCAGTTCGCATCGTTCAGGCAAGCCGGGACTGCATCCATCGGAACCCCGGAAGGGAGCGATCCTTGCCCCGAGGTTGTCGCTGACTACATCGAGTGCGCTGCCGGCTGCCTCCACTCGCGCCGTCGCCTCCTTTTCGCCGCGTCAAGCAGCGGCTCCGCGGGAGAGGGCGCTGTTCACTGCCCAGTCAACTGTGAGCCGGCATGAGAGTCGAGAATCGCGAGAGCCTGCACCCGGGTGCTGCTCCCTACCCAATTTCCAAATCTGAATGCATCGGCGACACGAAGATCTTTGCCGGTGTGCCGTCGGACCCCTCGGGGGCGGGGCGCATGGGGGCGTTCGTCGCTTGCGGCAACACGCTGCCACGCGCCCGCGAGACGGTTCTGGGCGTGGAGGGCGGGGACAGGGGTGGGAGGGTGGGACGGTGGGATCCGCGGACGGGGACCGGGACGGTTGAGGCTGTCAAGGGCCAGTACACGGACGCAGAGGGGAAGTGCCATGTGGAGGCGTTGCTCTTCGAGGAGTTCGGCGCAATGAGCGCGGGGGTGGAGGAGCTGCTGATGCGGGTGGCTGAGGTGGCGGGCCGGAAGCTCACGTGGTGGCAGTACGACCAGACGTCGTGGTCGGCGCGCGAATGGATGCCGTTTGCGCTGCAGCGACTGTCGGTGCAGCTCTGGGTGGCGCTCGCGGACGAGGCACAGCGCGCCATTGGTGCGGCGTCGCGCGACCGCGAGGGACCGCGGGGGAATGCTAGTGGGATGGGGGGCTCTGAGGGGAAGGGAGCGGGGGGCGCCCAGTAGGGCGCCGGCACCCCAGCGTAGAGGGCGTCGTGTAGCCCTCCTTTTGGTATAAATATAAATCTGAAGCCCGCCCCCTGGTTTGTGGAGCTCCCGCAGATTACCTAGAGAGCACGGCATTCGGGGCCATGATGTCGGTTCCCCACCGGATTTTTTTGTAGTGGAGAGAATTAAGGAATCTTTCTGCTCTGACAGGCAGCTGCATCATTCCCCTTTACTTCAATCAGCTGTGTACATTCAAGTGCTATTACTGTCTGTATAGCTGTCTAGACGCTCCGATTTTGCTGTCTGGACGCTGTCTGGACGCTGTCTGGACGCTGTCTGGACGCTGTCTGCCGAACTCTGACGTCTGACCTGCGACGCAGCGACGGGCTGCTGTCTTTCCCCCAGCGCCGAACGAGCATTATCGCCCACCATGGGAGCTCCAGCGGCGGTCCGCCGCCGGATGCGAGCAAGCGCAAGCTTGGCCTCTTTAATTTTGGTTGGGCATGGATGCTTGGCTCAACGCCAAGAGAAGAACCCAAAGAATGTATTGACAGGCGTGATAGCATGGCCGCAAGTACACGCCGAATTCCCAGGAAAACAACTAAAAATCGCGCAAAAACCCTCAAAAAATCGGCGCCTGCGGCGGGGACCCCATCTCCCCCCCACATGGGTGCCCCCTAGGGCCCCGCCCCCCCCCCCAGAGATGAATGAGCTCAAATTCTATTGAATACCAGCAAAGTAACAGGATGGTGGTCGCGGACACACTGGGGTCTTTCCGCCTTCCCGCCCGCCATGATATCTAGCCGTGTGTGCTGGCGTCCGTTGTCCCAGCGGGTTTTCACGTAACAAGTGTAAACACAAGGACTGCGTGACTCACACCGCCCCATGGCTCGGCTGCCGCACATCAGATCCACCTCCCTCTAGGACGTCACCGCTCGAGCGGCACTCGAGAAGTTGCAACACACGGGGTGACACCGCGCCATGGCGGGGGGGCAATGTATCAGCGCCGAACTCTCTCATGGAGTCCTAGGACGTCACCGCTCAAGCGATGAAGCGGCGGGCGTGCCGCTGAATGACATGTGCTGCGTGCCTCAGCTGCTCGTCCATCGCCGAAGGCTCAAGTTCAAACGGCATTCGAGAGGGGGCTGCAACACCGAAGCTGGAGCTCGACCGGCCGGAGAAGATGCGGCGCACCACCTGGTTGAACGACTCGTACTTGCCGAACCCAGCCTCCTGCCAAGCCACCGGGGGAGGGGTGTCGGAGTAGCACGGCGCGCGCGGGCGAGGCTCAGGTTTGGCGCTGCGGGCACGCACGATGCAGCCGAGCAGCTTCTGCGTGTCCCGCTCCTGCGAACAACGCGCCCGCTCCACGCTGAACCGCCCGAGCTCGCGCTGCAGCGCTTTTGTCGCGTCCGCCGCCGCCTCGTCCGCCTCGTTGCTGGCCTCGACGACGGGCAGCACAGTCACACGGTCGATGTCGCCTCCATTCTTGAGGAAGCAGAAGAGCTCGACCACGCACCACAACCTAGTTGACGAAGGAGAGAGTAAGTGGAGCGGAGCACAACTCTTTCTCGCGGCCTCCTCCGCGCGCGCCTGTTCGCGTAGGTCGGCCCCGCCAGGATGAGGAAGCGCTGGCAGCCGCTGACGAGGAGCGGCAGCAGCTCGAGCGCGCCCGCGTCCTCGGGGGTGACGCACGCGGCGTCCAGCCAGAGCAGCGGCGCCGTGCCGCGCTCCGCCGTGTCGCCCTCCGCCCACCGCTGAAGCGCCGCAAACTTGCCCTCGCGGCTGTCGTGCCAGGAGTGGCTCACAAAGACAGAAGACTCAGCTCCCAGGCTGGCGGCCACCGCCCGCTCTCGCAACGCGTCGCCCGCGCCGCCCGCCACGCCCCCGCCCGGCAGCTCATCCGCACCCGTCAGCGTGTCAAAGGGCAGCAGGCGGAAGGCCGCCTGCGCGCGCGCCAGCGCCTTCTCGCCGCCGCCGGAGAGAGCCGCCAGCGCCGCCAGCTGCGCGTCGTCGCTTCCGCCGGAGGCGCCGAGGCGGGCGAGGCGGGCTTGCAAGTAGCGGCGGGCGGAGGGGCGGAGAGCGACGGCGGTGAGGAGGATGGCGGCGCCAGCCAGATAGAACGGCCACAGGTTCGAATCGACCGCAGCCATGCTCACGACGAGCACTCCTGCCACTCCAGCTAACAGCCGGGAAACCAGCCAAATGCGGCTCAAGCAGGCGGGGGCGGTCATCGCCCGGGGGCCGACGCGGGTGGAGCGGCAGGGCAGCAGGCCGGCGAGAAAGGCGTCGCGCCAGGCCGGGAGGAAGGCAGCGGCAGCTAGGCAGTCGCACATAGCTAGGAGGCTGAAGGCCGCCGAAAACGACCAGAGGTTAGCCGTAGTCAACGGGTGCAGAGGCCGTCCCGCCAACCACCAGAAGAACCATCCGAGAAGCGGCAGCGCCAGGTTGACGGAGAGCCCGCGGAGAAGGTCCTCGTCCGTGGGCAGCACGGCGAGGAGCATCGAGAAGACTCCCCAGAAGAAAGCTATCCCCATGATGCTGAGGATGGTAGCGCTAATCATCGGGCTGCTTTGGAGCAGCCCGACGACGATGCCGGCGAGTGACGCCAAAAGGGCGACCAGCCCCCCGCCAAAGGCGACGAGGCGGATGCGCCTCTTGCGCCTGTCCGCGGCGGCGCGCTGCTCCCGCATCCGCTGCCGAGCGCGCTCCTCGAAGACGACCGACGTGTAAAAGCTGGCGTACATATCCACCACCTGCGGCGGCGGCGGCGGCGGTGAGGCGGGCAAGTCCACCGTGGGCCATTGGGGCACCATCGCACGCGCCACCTTCTCCTCGTCGCCCTTGCCGGTGAAAGCGATGACCTGCTTCTCGCTCCTTCCCTCCGTCTCCTCGAACTGAGCCTTGAACGCGTCGGTCGTGGGCGCGCTCGTGAGGGTCACAGGCTGCTCGTCCAGCACGTCGATCATCTTGGGCGCGTGCCCCGCGCTGCCCAGCCCGAGCTCGCTGTGCGTGCCGAGGATGATCTTCGCGAAGTTGCTCTCGGCGTGGCACCTGTGCGCCGCAAGTGCGGTCAGAAGGAGAGAGCCACAAGTACCTGAAGGAGGCGGTAGTCGCGGCAACGCACCAGCCCCGCCGCTCGTACGGCTGTGTGTTGTACAGCATGCCAATGCCCTTGCACAGCTGCTCCGCGCCCGCCGCCACGGCCGCAACCGCCGCTTCGCGCGTGGCGAAGCGAACGATCGCAGGAGCTGTGTGCAGCTCGCACGTCTCGATCTGCCCAAAGCTGCCAAGCGTCGCGAGGATCGCCTGCTCTTCGATGCCGTTCTTCAAGCCGAAGAGGCAGACGGAGCGCTTGCCCCACTCTGGCGGCTCTGGGATGTTGGTCAGCCGCAGCACTGTCACGCAGCGGGGGCTCGCGTACAGCCCCGCCATCACCGCGAGCGACGCAGCAAAGATCTTGGCCTCCTCGGCAGTGCGCTTGCCGGCAGCATCCTTCTGCGGACGCCGGCGACAAGGCGCGCGTCACTCAACCGCCGCGCCGCCCTCAGCGTTTCGGTGTGTGCGGAGGCATAGCTGGCACGGGGGAGGGGAGGGCGGCGGCGGGGAGGGCGGAGTGCGCGCGCGCGGGGAGGCAGTGGCGGGGGGGGGGGGGGGGGGTTCAAGGCGGGGCCCACACCCCTAGGTGAGCGCACACGCGCTGCGGTCCTGCCGAGCAAAGAGCGCGGCCGCCTCCTCGGGCGAAAGCAGCGCCTCTGATGGCAGGTCCTGCCGGCGCGGCAGCACATAGCCGCGTGGGCGCGAGCGCAGCCAGCTGCAGCGGAGCAGCATGAGGTCGCGAGAAAGGAGCGAGGCGTGCACCCGCTGGTCGTGCGGACCAAGTCCCGCGTCGCTCTGCACCATCTCTAGGCCCGCACCTGCGGACTGCTCATCCATTCGCCGCATGTCTCGGAAAATGCAGACGAGTGCCCAGATCAGGCTGAGCCCGGAAAAGACAGAGCAGAGAGTGAGAGCCATGCAGTGCAGGACGAGGGCCGCAGCGCGAAGGGACTTGTCCCGCTCGCGCTCCACCGCCGCGAAGGCCGAGTACTCTGGGGAGGGGTCGGCGCCAGACTTGCAGAGGCAGGGGAGCTCCAGATAGCAATGGAGGTCGTTCCACAACCCATCGTTGCCGACAGCAGCGCACTCCTCTGCGCCACGCAAATCGTTTGGCGTTGACAATTTGACGTCCCATTTGACAAAGTTTGCCGTCTCGCCGGACTGGCACACGTCCCAGCCGCCGCCGGGCTTCGCTCCGGCGGGCCGCTGGTAGTTGCCGATCCAGAAGTGGATCGCGCCGGCATCGGCGGCAAGGCGCGCCACATGCTCGTTTTCCTCCGAGCTTTGCACGCACGCGAGAGTAGCGTTCGGCCCACACAGGTCCGCGCAGCCCCAGTGCGTGGACGGCTCGGCGGTGAGGTGGTACGAGCCAAAGGCAAAGACAGCGGCTAGAGCGAACATGCTGCATCCAATTGGCCCGTGTCAGCGAACTTCCCTTCAATTCTAAAATTCTTTTTCTACACCAGGTGCGAGAATGCGCATTTCTTCTCTGCACTATAGCCCTTGAGAAAGAGCTCGCATTATGCAAACCTGTGCCTGTGTCCTAGGAAGTAGACTGAGAGGGGTACTCCCATAGGCAAGAGGAGGTCTGGGGAGGCCCACAGCGGTCAGGAGGCAGCTTCGGCTTCGTGTGCACGATCTTGCGCTGCAGCTCCTTCGCCTCCTTGTGGTACCACGGCGCCTACCAAAACGAAACCCCTCGCCGCGTAAACGAAAAACTACGAGCCACCTCTGGGCACGTTGTGCCACGGACGGCGCGCCTCGCCCGTCACCATCTCGTACAGCAGCACGCCAAGCGCCCACAGGTCGACCGCCTGCCCGCACGATCTCGGGTGATCTCGGGCCATCTCGGGCCATCTCGGGCCATCTCGGATGATCTCGGGCCATCGGCCGCCTGGCCGCACTCGAGCATCCGGATGATCTCCGGCGCCATGTACTCGGTCGTGCCGATGAGGACAGGACGGCCAGACGCGGACGGCTGCGTCGCGGGCGCCGTCAGCCCGATAGCGGCCAGGCCGAAGTCGCAGAGCTTGATGATTGATGGGAAGGCGAAACACAGTCCGACCAACGACTGGGACACCACCGCGGTCTGGCTGCTTTGCCGGCGCGCCTCCAGGCGGCACCCGCCCGAGCCAATCCGCCTCGGCCGCGATCACAGCCTGCTCGGCCGCCTGGTCCGCGAGGCAAGCGCCCGCCAGACTGCGACGAGGCCGCCGCGCGCACCAGCGACGCGAAGGTTCGCTGCCACAGCTGCTGCGTGCTGCTGTTGCTTGGGCGGCGAGAAGCGCCGTCTTTGCGGCGTCTGTCGGACGCGGCGGAGGGAGGGCGGTTCGGCGGCGAAGGGAAAGGACGGCGTGGCAGCACCGCAAGCGCGTTCGGTCACGCGCGCCCCGAGGCCGCCGTGCACCAGCTGAAGGCTTGGGTCCCACATCGCCGGATTCGTGCACGGTATTCGGATTTTGCTATTTGCTCGTGTGGGGGTATATCGCAGATTTGTCAATGGTACCGCGTCTGCGACGCGGGCGCCTTGCGGGCAGAGCCCTTAGCCACCCTTTTATCTTGCGCGGTCATAAATCGAACCGCGGTAGTAGGAGCGCATCGGGACGCGGAGGGAAATAAGAAAGGAAGTCAATTCCTCCCAAGCTACATGTACATGTAGGGCAGGGAAGGACAGACACACACACAAAACACACACTCTCTCTCTCACAACAAGAGAGAGGCGAAAGACTCCTTATCAGCTGGTCGGCCGCCATGCTGGCCTCCGGGCCTGCCGCGGCGGCGCGGCCGGCCGAGGCCGGGCTCGGCCCGGCCCGCGACGGCTGGCCGCCGACGAGCGCGCTCGCGCTGCTCGTCAAAATGGCGGCGGTGGCGATTGCGGCGACGGTCGTTCAGTCGTACAGCGCTCAGGCGTCTGTCATCTGTCGTCTGTTGTCGCATTTCGCACACGCGCGCGCCGCGCGACCCGCGTCGCTCCGCGAGGGCATGAGCCTTCCGCGATTCGATCCCGCAGCCAAAAGCTGCTCGCTCGAACCGCGGCCGACTCTGCCATCGCGGCCGCAGCTGTTGAGCTCTCCAGAAGACTGGTGCCTGATACGCTGCCTCCCTGCGGATGCAGCCAGCGAGCCTGGCCCCTGGCGGTCCGCTGTACTTCAAGGAGAAGTGCTGGACACGATCCCCCCCGCAATCTTCTACCCCCACGACTCGGAACGCGACTGTGACAGGACCATCGGGTCCTTCGGCCACCAAAGCGAGATCACCCGAGAGCAGCTGAGCCTGCCTCTGGCCTCGCCTCCCTCTCCTTCAGGCATTCGTGGCATCCTATGGGTTGTCCAGAGTATCGACCTCTGGCGAGTCAGCCAGCCCCACTTTGAGGGCGCCATGAAGTACAGCGATCGCCATCTCGCTGGCCTCTTCGCAAGGCCTCCCGACCGCGTCGAACTCATCGACGCGGGCTCTCTCGGCTACGGGACCGCGGCCCCAGCTTCGGCTGAGGGCTGACAAGCTGCCGAGCCCAAATCACTGTGCGAGTCGTGATTTCTTGTTGGTTTTCTTCGGTGCAGCGTTCGTGTCTGACTGAACTGCATGTCACTCCGGCACGGGACTGGCGCGCACTGGCACTAACACAGGTACACCACGGGAGCCGCCTAAGCAAAAAGAATTTTACAATCGAACTCCCTCCCACCACACAGTCGTAGGCACGGGACTGGCGCGCAGACAGAAAAAGAATTTTGGGTGGCCTCGCTCAGAAAAGAATTTAAACAAAACAACTCTCTCTCACAGCACACAGGCTCGACACAGGTGCGAACTGGCGCGTGCTAGTACTATCGCCGGCACACCACCGGAGCCGCCTAAGCGACTCCGTTAAGAACGGCAATGCACTTAGCTCCGTGCACAATGCCGCTGTCCCCGCACGCTAGCTCGTTCACCGTCTGCCACGCCACGGCGGTGTGGAGAACGACAGACAAGCGCTGCATCTGCAGCCCGTGCCAGTTCTTGGTGGTCCATGTGACCTCATCGAAAAGAATCTTAAAATACCAGCCTCTCTCACAGCACACTGTCTCGGCGTCGGCGTGGCCCTTCTCCCTGGCAATCTGCAGCGCCGTCTTGCCCGGCCGCAGAGCGCAACCCAGCCAACGCCATGTGGCCGCGCGCGCTCGCAGCAGGAGGAGCACACGGCGGGACGGCTGGTCCCGGCGGCGAACATCAGCGCGGTGGGCGCACCGTCGCCTCTTTGGACTTTGCCCTCTCACCGAATCAAGCGGCCACCGCCGCCGCCTCACAGACAATGGCGCGCAGAGAGTCCTGACTGAGAGGCTGAGCGAACCTTGAACGGCGTCTAAAGCCGTACTTGACTACTTAAAAAAACTGGCGCGCCGGGGGGGGGGGGGGGGGGCAAGCGCCACCTCATTGTAGTAGTGTGTGTTCTCACTCACTCACTTACGCGCCACGTCACCCTCGCGACGACAGCCGGCGCCTCCCGGCCGTCGTGCGCTGGGGCGGTGGCGCCATCGCGCTGCGCGGGAGCGGCGGCGCCTGTAGGGGAATCAAACCAACGATAGGGCCCCAACAACCGCCCTGCAACACCGAGGATCGAGCTCGGCGGCGCGCCTCAATCCGCGTTTTGCCGTCGGAGGTGACGAGGACGAGGACGAGCGCGAGGGCGGACGCGGCCTAGAGGAGGCAACACCTTACTTCCAAGATCTGAGCCTGCTATCCACGCCCAAACGACTGGCGACAGGTCCACCTGCCCAGCGAGCGCTCCTGCCTCTGCCTCCACCTTCTCTCCCCCTCCGACAATCGCTTCCCGCCCGCCCTCGCCCGCCCGCCCCCCGGCGGCGCTCGCTGCCCACCCGCCGCCGCCCGCCCGCTGCTGCCCGCGCTCGCGGCCTTGAAAGTCTGGCCGCCGCTGCGGGCTGAGCCCCGAGGCCGCCCAGAGGACGAGCGGCGGCAGCAGGCGCCGCAGCAGCTCCTCCGAGAACCCATGCCCTGCGGCGGGCACGTGGAGGATGGCCGCTGTTGGCCGGCACCTGCAGAGGAAGGTTCCGAGAAGGTTCCGAGAAGGTGCCGGGCACGTGGAGGATGGCCCGCTGTGCTGGCCGGGGCACCGCGGCTCGATCGCCGCCCAGAGCTCGGCGAGGTACCTAGTATTACCCGATAGATTACCCGAGAGACTACCCGAGATTCCCCGAGATTCCCCGAGATCGCCGCGCAGAGCTCGGCGAGGTACCTCTCGTCGCCATCGTACCCGAGCGCGTCTCGGTGCTCGTTGAAGTAGTCCTAATTACTTAAGCAAGTACTCCTTAGACAGCACTAATAACGGCGTTCGAGATCCCGGTGCTCGTTGAAGCAGACCTACGGTGCTGGATACGCCGCGACATGAGAGCGGGAGTACACGGCACACATTGTGCAGCGTATTCAGAGCACCGCGTGAATACGAGGGGCTACGCAGACAGTGAACACAGTGTGGGTCCTCTCGAGCGCTGGTTGGGAGACATGAAGACGTGTGCAGCGTCTAGGAAAGGAGTCCCTCCCGCCCGTCAGGAGCACGACGGGCACTCCGGAAGGCCACGCCCACGACGCCTAGTATGAATCTCGGGTAATCTCGGGTAATACCAGGCACTCCGGAAGGCCAGGCCCACGACGCCTAGTATTACCCGAGATTATCCGAGATTACCCGAGATTACCCGAGAGTCACTCCGGAAGGCCAGGCCCACGACGCCTGCGGCAGCCCCGTCGGGTGAGTGCCTTGTCTTGTGTCTGTGTCGCTCCTGTGTGACCCCGTCACCGCCCGTCCTGCGTCCACCCACACACCGCTGTGGTGTCCCAGTGCTTCGCGCCTCCCTCTCTAATATACGAGACGCCTGCTGACGCGCACAGCCGCCGTTGATGACGACGGCGGGCACGCGGCAGCCGAGCAGCCACAGCGCCGGCAGCGTCACCTGCAGACACGTGGGGAGCGGCGAGAGGAAGCTGAGATTACCCGAGATTACTCCGAGATTACCCGAGATTACCCGAGATTACCTGCAGACACATCGATGGGGGCCGGCGAGAGGAAGCCGAGATGAGCAGCCGGGATCACACGGGCCAGTCTAGAGCGCAAGCAGCGTCACCTGCAGGCGAGTCGACGGGCGAGATGCAGCCGAGATACAGGTAGCACAGCGTGTATATGTCAGCGCTCAGCGGCGGGGAGCTAAGCTGGGGCGCGTCCGCGTGCCTGCCCGCCGCGCGAGCCGCAGACGAGGCACGAGAAGCTGGCCGCGGGTTGTGGGCGCGGGACGCGGCTCGGGACCTCGCACGAGACGATCGCGCCCGACGGCGCATCGAACAGCCGGCCCGCCAGCGTGGCGAGGTTGAGGCACGACGCGCGGCCGCGGCCGGCGACGAGCAGGTCGACGCCGGCGGCACGCGCGTCCGACTCGTGCAGCTGTACCTCGCGCATCGAGACCCAGTCGGGCGGCATCCGCCTCCCGTTGATGTCGTACTCGGGGCCCGCCGCGAGGTGCACTCGGAGGCCGCCGGCGCCGAGCATCGCGCGGGTGGCCTGGCCCGAGCCGGGCGCGATAACGCAGATGCGCGGCCGGCGGCGGCGGTGGCAGAGGAGGAGGGCGGCGGCGAAGAGAGCGGCGGATAGCGCGGGCACCCAGAGCGCAGCCGTGGAGTCGTGGCGGAGCGCAGCGGTGGGCTCTCGACGGCGCTTCATGTACTATTCAAAAAAAATTCAAAATGGCTCCGCCCGCAACTCTCTCGCTGACACGCGCGCCCGCTTACGGCGGGCGCCCTACGGTCGCACCGCCTCCCAAGTCATATGAAGCGTTGGACGGCAAATAAAAAGAATTTTACAATGAAACTCCCTCGCACGACAGTGTGTGTGCGGGCACGGGACTGGCGCGCACTGGCACTAACACAGGTACACCACTGGAGCCGCGTAAGCGACTCCCGCGAGGACGGCGAGGAAAAGAATTTTACAAAGCCAATCCCTCGCACGACACTACGAGTACCATCCGTCGCCAACTGTCATGTCCCAGAAAAAGTGCGCGCTTCTCGGAACCAACCCTCGGAGACCCGTGTTTACTTTACGGCCCTCTCCCTGCGAACGCGCACCCCCCCCCTAGGGGTCAGGGCTCTCTAGCCCGTAGCCCGATACCGATCATCCGGCCCGCTGGGTGCGCTTCTTAGCTCCCCGGCCCTGGATGTGAGGTTAATGACTGCCATATAAGCGATCATGATGCATCGACCAAAACAACAAGAAGCGTTGACTGAAGAGAGAGACGGCGCAACCCCAAGCAATATGCACAAGTCACCACTTCTTGATCAGGTAGCCGGGCGACGTTTTGCACGACACGCAGTGCGCGCCAGTCCCAGTGTGTGCACTCCGCCCAGACTTCGGCTCGAGCGAGTCTGAGTGTCGAGAGACGAGGCAGAATCCTACCAATCGCGCAGCAAAAAAAAGCACCTCTTGTTGTGTACTGTTCTCACATATGCTTGTTGTGTGTACTGTGATTGGAGGTCGTCCCCAACCTCCACAGAGAGGTCCTCACTCAATCTGAGGTCCTCACCAACGGAGGTCCTCAGAATTATAGCACGCGCCTGTCCTGCTTCACGGCGCACAGGGTCGACGTCTTTAAAACTTGTACTTCTGTTCTCCAGGGCCTGTAAGCACCTTCAGGTATAGCCTCGAGGCGTGTGCTTACGGTTGCCAGCCAGCGCACGCACGCCTTTTGTGTGTCTTCTGGCCTGCACTGAAATGTAGTTGACGTGGGTTGTACTACATGGATAGGAAATGGTGTGGGTGTGTATAGTGCTCCAAGCAGTCGACATGCTGCTCGGTGTGATACGTGCATCACGTTCCCGGTTTCCTTGTTTTTCTTGTTTTCAGAAGAAATCGATCGAATCGTTCACCGACCGAGTCTGGGTCTGGTCTGGGTGTCGACGGAGCTAAGTGCCTTGCCGCCCTCGCGGGAGTCGCTTAGGCGGCTCCCGTGGTGTACCTGTGCCAGTGCGCGCCAGTCCCGTGCCCAGGGTCCGAGAGAGTTGTGTGTTAAATTCTTTTTCTTGTAAAATTCTTTTTCTTGCTCCCCCGCTCTCGTTTTTCTTTGTTCCTCACAGCGCGCCGCAGCACCGCAGGAAGTCAGCCAGAGGTCCTCATCTACATGAGGACCTCGCTCGTGGGGACCTTAAGGTCCTCACGGAGGCTCACAGCGGGCGAAAATCCAAAACAACATCATCCATATATTGGTTTTGCGCAAGGTGTATCGAGTTCTCGCGTGGGGGGACTACCGTGCGCAAGGGCCTGTGCTTTCCCGTGTGCGCACGGCGTGTGGTGGGATACAATCGAGCAGATATTCTTGGAGGTCGTCCCACAGAGGTCCTCACAAATGGGAGGTCCTCACATAGCACGCGCGCCCGTCCTGCTTACGGCGCACATAGCGACGTCTACTTCTCCAGGGCATGTAAGCACCTTCAGGTATAGAGTCCTGTGGTGCTTACGGCTGCCACAGGCAGCGCAGCCTGTGTACATCCGGCCTGCACAGAAAGTAGTTACGTGCGTTGTGGTAGTATGTAGGGAAAGCGTGTATAGTGCGTAGGTCTCCTCGGTTAGTGCGTACGTGTGGCACGTGGAGGGGTAAGTCTCCTCCTTTTGAGCTGCGGTAGTATGTTTCCGCAAGTCGAATTCTTTACGCAGGAGTCGCTTAGGCGGCTCCCGTGGTGTACCTGTGTTAGTGCCAGTGCGCGCCAGTCCCGTGCCCAGTGTTGTGTGAGGGAGTTTTGATTGATTAAGGGGAAGGCGAAACACAGGGAGTTGGTTGTAAAATTCTTTATTTCCTCACAGCGCCAGGCGACGCGAGACGCTGCAGCCTCTAAAGGCCCACCGCCTCGCGTGCGGGACCGTCGCCACGCATGCGCAACGCCGCGAGGCCCTTCTTCACGCACTCTGGCGGCGCGCTCGGCTTTGCGCCGGTGACGCTGCCGCCGCTGCCGAGCGGCGCCGTCCTCGACGTGCGCGAGTGTCCGCCGCCAGGCTCGCTAGCTGCAGCGCGAGCGCCGGTGCTCGGTGGACGGGTGTGGCCCGCCGCGGCCGCTCTGTGCCGCTGGCTCCGGCTCTCACGCCCGGCGCTGCTTGGGCTGCCCGTCGTGGAGCTCGGGTCTGGCACCGGCGCGGTCGGCCTGTACGCAGCGGCGCTGGGCGCGAGCAGGGTTGCCCTCACCGATGGATCTGCAGAGGTGGCCATGGACTTGTTTGCTGATGCGCCAACGCCGATGCGATGAATGAACGGAGTATGAGTTAATGGTTAGGTGATAGACCTGCTGCGCGCCAACGCCACCCGCAACGCGCCGCACCACAGCGCGGTCGTGTCGGTGTCGGCGCTTCGGTGGGGCGACGGCAACGATGCCGCCGCTGCGTGGCCGCAGGCAGAGGAGCCACCTGCCGCTGGTGCGACAGTCGGAGAAATGAGAAGAACCGTCAGAGAACATGGATTGGGCGTGTCCACACGCGGTGATTTCCGAGGCAAGGGGGTGAAGGACGCCGTCGTTGCGGCGTGTGATGGACTCAGCGAGTGCAGCACGCCGGACTCATCACATGCAGCGTGGAACGCCGCGTCGGAGGCTGAGCCGGCGGGAGGTCTCGTGCTGGGGTCCGACCTCACCTACTTTGTCGACGACCACAGGCCTCTCTGCGACACCATCGCCGCGCTCCTCGCCGCCCGGCCGCTCGCTCGCGCGGTGCTGGCGCACCAGCGGAGAGGCCTGCTCTTCCGCGGCGGCCGCACGCCCGGCGACCACCACCTCGACCACTTTTGCGCCGTCGCCGCAGCGAGCGGCCTGCGCGTGACGGCGGTGCCCGGCGCCGCAGCGGAGGCGGCGAGCGGGGCGGCTGGGGAGAACGTGTCGCTGCTCGAGGTGGAGGCGGACCGCGAGAGGTAGAAGCTGCGTGGGATGCGAGCGCGTTGTGTTACTCGTGGAAGGCTTCCGTATATACACCCCGCGCCCCGCTGTCGCTCCGACCAGCGCGGCGCTCTCTCTCCGTCTTCAGACACACACTTGACTTCCCAGAACCCAGATCCCACCACTCGACTAGGTTAGGTTAGGTAGAAAGGTGAAGTAGAACAGTCAGGCTCGGACTGGACACCAGCGCGGTATGGGTGGACGCGGGACAGATGATGACGACACGCTCGAGCGACACACAGACACAAACAACTCGACTCCGCACGCCCACGCAGCAAACCCGGGCCGAGAACAAGGCGGTTGCAATGGAGATGCTCTCCAAGCTGAGCCTTGAGCGTGGTGACTCCTGCACCTTCTTCATGCTGGACGCTGCTTTTGTGCGCAAATTCCCGGGCAAGAGTCTGCCTTTCTTCCAGGAGATTCGGGACCATTTCGTTACCGATGAGCCGCTCATCGAAGTGGCGCTCACCTACGCCGACGTCGTGAAGGGCACCCACATTGAGACGACCTTGGCGGTCTCGCACCGCTGGATGCAGCCGGACGACCCGGACCCCGACGGCGAGCAGCTCAAGGCGCTCAAAGGCTTCCTCAACTCGCCCGCCGGCAAGAAGATTGAGCGCGTCTGGATAGACTCTGCGTGCATGCCGCAGGACCAGCCAAAGGGCTCGCGCAGCGCGGAGGACGCGGCCGCCTTCAAGAGGATGCTCAAGGAGGTGAACCGGCTTTACCTCGGCACCACCGTCCTGATCCTCCTCGACATGTCGTACGTGTCCCGCTTCTGGACTCAGTTTGAGTCGTGGCTGTCTATGCAGTACGCCACCCCCTCCGGCCTCAAGCCGGCGGTGGGCACCAAGAACGAACGGCATCACATCGTCTGCATCCAGAACGCCGCTGCGCAGGCCGAGTCGTTCGCGAAGCTGCTCGTCGATCAGTGGGCGAACAAGACGCCGGACGAGGCGCACGCCTTCCTCTCCAAGCCTGACGTCACCGTGACCAACCAGGGCGACAAGGACTTGCAGCTGCCGAAAATCATGGAGCTCGACGCGACGGTGCAGGGCGCGTTTGGGGACATCTCGCGGTCGCTAGAGGATGAGCTTGCGGCGAGCGAGGCGGCGGCTGCGCGCGCGGAGGCGGAGCTGACCGCGTGGGAGGCGGAGAACGACGCCAAGGCCGGCGAGAAGAACCGGCTGAAGGTGGCGGCGCGGCAGGCGGCGAGCGCGGTGGCGGCGGCGCGGGCGGCGAAGGAGGAGCACGCGCGGGCGATCTCGAGTAGTATCGTCCCGGCAATGATGAAGCGGGCAGAGGCAGCGTTGGCAGAGGACAGCCTCAGTATGTCCGACGTGCCGGAGTTGGTGCTGCAGCTGAGCGGCGGAGGGGACAAGCAGAAGGAGCAGGCCGCGGCGGCGCTGGCGAAACTCGCTCTCAACGACGACAACGTGGTGGCGATCGCGAGGGCGGGCGGCATCGCGCCGCTGGTGGCGCTGGCTCGCGGCGGCACGGACGGGCAGAAGGAGCAGGCCGCGAGGGCGCTAAGATTGCTCGCTAACAACGCCGACAACCAGGTGGCGATCGCGAGGGCGGGCGGCATCGCGCCGCTGGTGGCGCTGGCTCGCGGCGGCACGGACGGGCAGAAGGAGCAGGCCGCGAGGGCGCTAAGATTGCTCGCTAACAACGCCGACAACCAGGTGGCGATCGCAAAGGCGGGCGGCATCGCGCCGCTGGTGGCGCTGGCTCGCGGCGGCACGGACCGGCAGAAGGAGTATGCCGCGGGGGCGCTGGCGATCCTCTCTTACAACGCCGACAATAAGGTGGCGATCGCGAAGGCGGGCGGCATCGCGCCGCTGGTGGCGCTGGCTCGCGACGGCACGGACGGGGAGAAGGAGCGTGCCGCGGCGGCGCTGTGGAACCTCGCTCTCAACGACGACAACCAGGTGGCGATCGCGAGGGCGGGCGGCATCGCACCGCTGGTGGCGCTGGCTCGCGGCGGCACGGACGGGCAGAAGGAGGAGGCCGCGGGGGCGCTGTGGAACCTCGCTGGCAACGCCGACAACCAGGTGGCGATCGCGAGGGCGGGCGGCATCGCGCCGCTGGTGGCGCTGGCTCGCGACGGCACGGACGGGCAGAAGGAGAAGGCCGCGGGGGCGCTGAGGAACCTCGCTTGCAACGCCGACAACAAGGTGGCGATCGCGAAGGCGGGCGGCTTCGCGCCCCTTGTGGCTGCGGCCCCGGCGTCAAAGACAATTATGTGCTGCGGCTGCCGCAACAAGTTTGGGGTGCCGCCCAACACCTTAATCGTCGCGTGCCCCTATTGCAAGACGCACAACCGCGTGCCTCCCTGACGGCGTCGAAGGGGTGCTCGTCACGGCGGCAGTCGGGCAGCCACGGGCGCCGCCAAGGGCGGTCTGCGGGAGAGGAGCGTGGATCGTGAGAGCGGAGCTCTCAGCGAAGCGCCCGGCTAGGCAGGAGTGCGCCAGGGGGTACACCGCGGTCGGAGCGTAGGCAGGCGCCCAACGATCGGCGTGCTGATGCGCGTGTGTGAGCTAGGTTCGTGTGGCGTGCATGCGGTCCTTCTGTGCGTGTCCCCGCGTGTCTGGAGTGATGTGTGTGCCCCCAACACTAAACAGAAATCATATACCAGCCATGACTGTTTCCCCAGAGAAAAGAATCGGCTCGCCCGCGTTTTACTCTGGCACCGCGCGCACGGCCGCAGCCACACCTCGACAGCTAAGAGCGACTCCAGCGTCCAGGTTCGAGACACCCGGTTGGGCTTGGGCGTTGGGGGGGGGTTTGCTTTGGGGGGTAGCCCGTCGCCCATAAGATCCATCAAGGGGATCCATCAAACGTCCGTCGAATCCGTCGACATCCGTCGCCAGCTGGCGTGGCTCACGCGCCGGCCGCTGCGCCAGAATCGTTTTGTGCTAGGCGGGTTGGCGTTGTGCCGGCAGGCGGGTAGCCGGGTACTGGGCTGGGTTTTTAGGCATTGTGGGGTTGGCACTCCCATCGACCCTCATGACCTCCTGCGGTCTCTGAGGTGGACACCAGTAGGTGTGGGACCATAGCCAGGGTACACTCGAAGGCTGGGTAAGCAGTAGAGGTCGATACTCGACGCGTCCCACATGGTCTGTGTCGCTGTCGGCACGCTGTCGACAGGACGTCGAGCGACACCGGTGGCAGTGCCACCCAGGAGTGGTCGGGCGGTCTCCCGTCATGAGAGAGCCACCATGTGATCCGTATGATGGTTCCTGACAACCGCCTCAGTCAACTTTCGTCACAGTTCCCGCTCTGAGAGGAGCTGCGGGTCAGTTCGACAGCTGGAGCTGTGTCGCCGGCGTGCGGCGGCCTGCCTCCGGAGGTGCCTCTGAGGTGGACATTTTTTGGTCACCGCGAGAGAAAAAAAAACTGTTCAGTTTTCAAAGGCAAAAACGCCAGCCTACGCCCTCCCCTCACACTGACACTTCTCCCCTATTCCCGTCTTTAGGTTGCGCACATCTCCCAGCGAGCTAGGTTCTCCGCTTTTTCTCCCCTAGTCATCTGCCCGCGCCGCGCGCCTCTGTGGGCGTCTAGTGCAGCCACTGACAGAACTGTTCCAAAGGAGTGGTCAACGTCTCGCCTGAAGTCGGGTGGGCTCGCGCACTGCTTAGCCCTAGGGGAGGGGTGTGTGTGAGGTGTCGGAATGGTAAGGTTTCAGGCCGCCAAGGTGTGGGGGATTTGGGGGATGAGTCAGGAGCCAGCAGCCTTCCTGCTGGACCTGAGTTCACAGCTCCTCCGCCCGACGGGGTGGTCCCTTGGATTCGGGCCCCGCTCCCTTTTCCTGCGCCTGGTCTGTCCCTGTCAAGTGTGTGTTGCGAGATGCAGAGCTGGTTAGGCTGGAGCGCGGGCGGTGCGGTGGCAGGCGAGGGCAGCGCGGTAGGCGAGAGGCGGCCGCGGGGCTTCGAGTGGCGCGATAGGAGGGTAGGCTGGCTGTGGAGGGGCGCCGCGTGGCCTCGGCAAATGAGTAGTGCTTTATGAGCGGCCAGTTTTGTGCGTATTGCATATCGAGCCTGCGGTGTGGCCTAGTTGGTGCAGCGTTCGGGTCGGGGACGTTTTGGTCGTTGGTTCGAGCCCAGCTGGTGCAGTTCGTAGTCGCGTAGCGCGCGGGTGCGCGGCAGCCTCGGCAACCGAGGCGACAGTGGCGAGCAGGGGCGAGCAGGGGCGAGCAGGGGTCAGAGCAGTGCGGCGCGCCGAATTTTTTTCGATGGGCTCGGTCAGTGGGCGTGTCAGGAGGCGGCCGGCCGGGAGAAACTCGGCAGTAAAACTCCCGCGCCGGCCCAGGAGGTGGGAGTGTCACGGAGGCGGCCATTGGCGCGCGCTCCTTGTCTTCGTGGGTCCGAGTTTTTTTGGTCACCGCGAGAGAACGCGTGTTCGAATTTTTACTCCGGAACTTCAACTCTGCACGCGCACCGGCCAGGGCTACAATAGTGCCAGTGAGGCGGAGGCGCGAGTCGGAAGGCCGCGACCGTCAAGTGTCCCCCAATTTTCCTACTGTACCGTACCAAAGTGTGAACAGGTTGGAGCAGCAGCTCCTGAGCACGGCGCCGCAGGCGCCTGTTGATAGGTCCAGGTGATAGCCCTGGATGGGCAATGCATACGCCTCACTGGGCCTCAGATCGCCCGACCGCGTCCCGGTGCTCTGTGGTCGGATTTGTGACGCCGCCTCACCGCGCCGCGGCCGGGGGCCCTCCGGAGGCCGAGGATGGCCGTGGCGGACCAGGACGAGCTCTGGGAGGTGAAGTGTCAGTGTATATATTGTAGAGACCAACCATGTCCACAATATCTCTCAGTCTAGCTAAGCCTGGGAAGGCGATACCGGGGCCGTACAGCAGCTTGATGGTGCTTCGCCGGCGTTCGTCCCGGAGCGGTGCCGGACGGGCGGTCCGGGGGACAAAATCGAGGGACAACGCCGACGGCGCTCTGATTCGACTTTTAACTTCAAACAAAGACAGTGGCACGCGCCGCACTGCGGCGCGTGCCACTGTCAGGAGCGGATCCGTCAGTTAGTTGTGTTCACGCCGGGATCGTGTCCCTCACAACCTGGGCAGACTTTAGCCTACCACAGTACAATCGCTGTGAACCCAGCCACGTAAACTCGAAATACGAAAACTCTCTCGGCAGGTGCAGAAGCCGTATGCAGAAGCACGCGGAGCTCGTCGCCAAGGAGATACGAAGTTTCTTACCTTTACCCCTGCCCAGGGTCATGTTGACACCGCCCGTAATTTAGTCGGATCTACAGGGAATTCTGGGATCTACGCGCGCTCGAGCGCGCACGCCCCCGGGTCTCCTCACCCACACGGGTCTCCTCAATCCTCACCAAAAGCGTGGCCGCTTCAGTCTCCACAGCCTTTTCGGGCTTCGCTTGTGTGTAGTACTCCACGCTACGCCTTCTCCAGCAGCAGGAAGAAGCGGTCCGCGTGCTGGCCGTGCTCCCAGAAGCGGTCAAAGTAGGACTGCTCGTCGACGAGGAAACCGCCCTCCGCGCCGGGGCTGCCGTGGAAGATGCGGATGCCTAGTTGCCAAGTAGTCGACACATTAATGCTTGCTAATCAACAGTCAATGGACGACGCCGTGGAAGATGCGGGTGCCTAGTTAACAAGTAGTCGACACTTCACTGCGTGCTAATGAGCAGTCAGGAGACGCCGCGGAAGACGCGGGTGCCGTCGACCCGCTCGCACGAGCGACCCTCGAGCGGCACGGACGCGAAGCAGCGGCCTGCGTCGCCGGCGGCGGCGGCGCCTCTCCGCATCTCGCCGAGCAGCCGCGCGAGGCTGCAGCAGTAGCGGTGGTTGTCGGAGAAGATGGTAAGGCGGCCGGAGGGACGCAGCGCGCGGTGCGCGGCGTCGAAGAGTGGCGGGGTGAGGAGCGAGCCGGTGAGGTGGGAGAGCGAGTCCTGAGAGGCATGGTTAGAGAGGAGGCGACTAGTAGGTGCGAGAGTGAGTCGATGGGAGTCATGATTAGAGAGGAGTGACTAGTCAGGTGCGAGAGCGGTTCCTTGTGGGTCAAGGAGGGAGCTCGGCGGTATCTCTCTCGGCTATGTCTCGACCATCTCTCGGCCATCTCTCGGCCATCTCTCGGCTCTATCTCCGCCTCGGTGCCCCACCGGTGCGGCGGCTCGGGGAAGTTGACGAAGATATGCGCCACCGACTCTGGCGACACCTGCACCAGTTAATTCATTAACTAATTATTTAATTAACAATTAACTCTGGCGACACCTGCACGGAGCAGCAGTGCATCGCCGTGCTTAACGGAGTCGCTTAGGCGGCTCCGGTGGTGTGCCGGTGTGTGTGCCAGTCCGCGCCAGTCCGCGCCCTTGCCGTGCCAGTGTGCTGTGAGAGAGGCTTGTGTTTTCAGAACTCTGGCGACACCCGGTCTCGCAGCAGCGCGACGCCGTCGCCTCCAACCACCGCTAAGTTGTCGACCCGCCCCAGCGCCACGCGGGAGAGGAGGGAGGCGACGCGGTCGTGCTTCAGCTCGCACGCCACCTAAACCGTTCGAAGCTTCATGGTTGAGTACGTATTCATCGCGCGCTTGTGCTTCAGCTCGCACGCCACCCAGTTCGCCGCGCCCGCGTCCGCCGCCGCCTGGGCAGCCACCCAGTCGCATGATTATTAGCTAACAATCAGCTATTATTAGAATTAGTTAGCCGCCGCCTGGGCAGCCACCCAGTCGCCGGTGCCCGAGGCCAGCTCGAGCTTCACGGGCAGTACCGGCGGCGGAGGCGGCGCGCTGTCGGCGCCGTCGGCGGCGGAAGGCGCAAAGAGCCTACGCGCTGATGACCCGGGCATCAGGGCGGGAGGGCGAGGAGTGTGGCGGAATACAGCGCAATACGGGTCCTCTCGACCGCTGTTTGGGGGACAAACCACGCTAGTATTCCGCTTCAAGACACACACGTGTTTCCGCTTCTACCGCAAAGAGCCTCTGCCACCGGATGCGGCCGTCCCGCGTGAAGCTGGCGGCCAGGCCTGTGCGGGAGATATGGGGAGATATGGGGAGAGAGGGGGAGAGAGATGGGGAGGCATGTGAAGCTTGCGGCCGCGCCCTTCCGGAAGCGGCGCGAGGCCGCCTTGCGCGCAGACCTGAGGGCTCGCCCCCTCCGAAGTAATTAAGTCGTCCTTCACTCCCACCCCTTGGGCCGACTTGCGTGCGGACCGCTTGCCCGCCGGCGACAGCCCCGTCGCGCCGCCGCCCCGTCGCAGCGCGGGTCGCAGTCCGAGGGTGCGCTTTAGCGAGCCGACGAGGTGCCTTGAAGAAGTAATCAACACGTCATTCCCAAATAGCGGCGGTGGAGTGCGCCGCAGCGAGCCGACGAGGTGCCTTCAACAATTAACAACGAAGTGACTCACGATCAGCCAAGGTGGTGTGCGCCGCAGCGAGCCGAGGCGCCGCACGAGCATCTTCCTCGAGAGCGGCGGCAACTCAGCGGCCGCCGCCGCCGGCGGCGGCGGCGGCGGCGGCGGTGCACCGGCGGCGGTGCCGGTAGTGGCGGCGGCGGCGGGCGGCGGCGGCGGAGGAGGAGGTGGAGGAGGAGGAGGAGGTGGAGCAGGCCCGCGGGGGTCTGGCTGCAGCAAGTGATCCATCTCGGACGGGTGGGCGAGCGAGAGGGCCTAATTAATTATATCAGTTAATCAACTAATTAATTAAGTGATCTCGGACGGGTGGGCGAGCGAGAGGGCCTAAAAAAGAAAGCCATCGCCGGCCTTTGCTCGGCTGGATCTACTATATCTCGGCGGGATCTCGGCTAGACCTCGGCTAGACCTCGGCTCGGCTGCACCTCGGCTGCACCTCGGCTCCACCTCGGCTACACCTCGGCTACACCTCGGCTACACCTCGGCGATATCTCGGCTATATCTCCGCCTCCGGAGGCACGAGGGGCGAGCGGCCAAACAGCAGCGTCCGGCGCAGCGGCGCAACGAGCTGCTGTGCCGCCACTGCGCCGAGCGAGCGGCTTAGCCTCTGCGCCTCGCGCTGCAGCTCCGCGCGCCGAAACACCTCAATTAGTGAGTCAATTAATTGGTTAACTAATGTAATCATCGAGGGCTGCAGCTCCACGTGCCGGAATACCTTGGCCTCCGCCCGCTCCTCGCCGCCCCACTCCCCGCCGCCGCCGCCAGCCCACCCGCCGCCCGCCTCGCCGCCGCCCGCCTCTCCTCCGCCGCGCGCACTCGACTCGGCGAGCAGCTGGCGCGCCTATCGCAATGCCAATTAATGCTAATCAATGGGCAACTAGCTAACTCATAAGTCTCGGCGAGCAGCCGGCGCGCCTGTCGCAATGCCAATTAATGCTAATCAAGGAGCAGCTAACTCACTCATTCATCGGCGAGCAACCGGCGCGCCTGTCGCAATGCGTCGCGTGCCAGCGCGTCCTTGCCCAGCAGCGCGCCGGCGTGCGACAGGTGGAGCTCCATCGCCGCCTAGTGAGGCCAATCCAGTACTGACTAGTCAATGCATTCGTGTGCGACAAGTGGAGCTCCATCGCCGCCTGCGCGTCGGTGGCATCCGCCTCCTCCGCCGCCTCGTCCAACTGCACGACGGACAAATCGTGGTAGAAGCGGCAGTTCGCGCCGCGCTCGCACCGCCCCGCCGCCCAAAAGGAGCAAGCGAGCGGTGCGTCCGCCGGCGGGGGCGGCGGACTCGCTGACCGCGCGGCAGCGACCGCCTTCAGGCGTTCCTTACGCTCCTCGCGGCGCGCCTCGACGTGCGCTCGCAGCTCCTTGAGCGCGAGGGACTGAGACAAGAGGCGAGCCAACGCCACGTGCGCCACGCCGTCCGGCACGACGCGCCATGCAGATCCCGCCATCTCGAATGCCTGATTAATGCCAATTAAGGAGTCATTAAGTGATTAGGACGCGCCATGCAGAGCCCGCCAGCGCGAATGCCCAGCGCGCAGCGACAGCGTCGCCGCACCGCACGCATCCGCGCAGAAAGGTGTTGAGCGCGCGGATGTCCGCCATCAGCGGGGGCGAGCCGTGGGCCATCCGTCGCAAGAGGTGGACGGCGGCGGTCATGTCACCTGATGAGTTAATGATCAGCTGACGAATGAGACCACTGAATTAATTAAGTGGACGGCGGCGGTCATGTCACCCGCGGCGCAGAAGCCCTTGAGCATGGTGGTGTACACGACCAAATTCGGCCGGCACTTTGACGCCATCATCGCCTCGAACACGCGCGCGCCGCCGGCGAGATCGCCGGCGAGCACGTGCGCGTTGAGCAGCGTCGAGTAAGCGTATCCGGTCGGGTGCAAACCCTCCGCAAAGATCTGCTCGAACGCGCCGACGGCCCGGTCGAGCTGCTTTAGCCTGCCATGCTCTGAGATGTCGCCTAGTCATCGACTCGTTCCTTGCTCAATCACTCGCCCGCGCGTCGACTGGCCGTGCTCTGAGATGTCGCCCGTCAGCTGGCGGACACGCTGCAGCTGCTGCTCGCGCGAGAGCGTGGAGGGTCCCGGCCCGGCGCCGCCGCCGCCGAGCGGGCCGAGTCCGAGCGCAGCGCCGCACGAGCACTTGCGACCCCACTCGAGGGCGCGGCAGGTGCAGGCGGCGGCAGCCGGACCTCCTGGCGGAGGCGGCGGCGGCGGGAGAGCAGGCGGCGGCGGGGGAGCAGGCGGCGGAGGCGGCGGATGATCACGAGGACGAGGCGGCGGAGGTGGAGGAACAGGAGGCTTGCGGGTGGCGACAAGGAGCTCGACAGCGCCGTTCGCGCCGAGGGTGCCCACCTGCACGAGGCTGCCTTGCCAGTCACGCTCGCTGCTGTACACGCGCTCGCCGTCGTGCAGGTACAGCTCGCCGTCGTGGACGCAGCCAGTGAGCTCCGGCTCAGGAGCCGGCCGCTTTTTGCCCATCGCGAGCGTCGTGGGCGCGCTTGTTCGCTCGTGAGCGAGCGCGTGAGCAGCGCCAGCGAGCGCGAGAGGCGGGCACGTGAATCGGTCAAAAAAATAAACGTGGTGGGCTCCTCCTTCGCTGTCCCATCTCCTCATCTCTTTCCCGCCTGGGCGGGGCAGCGGGCGGGCGCGCGGTGCGGCGCGGCGTGTGCGTGTGTGCGACTGCAATAAAGGACCGCTTGCGACCATTGGGCTTGTACTATTAACAACGAAGGCGCTCTCAAAAAAAAAACACTTGCCCGAAGTGCCAAAAGGTTCTCGGAGACCCGTGTTATGGTGGCCCTGCGACCGCGCACCCCCCCTAGGGGCCAGGGCTCTCTAGCCCGTAGCCCGATGCCGATCATCCGGCCCGCTGGGTGCGCTTCTTAGCTCCCCGGCCCTGGATGTGAGGTTACCGACTGCACTCCAAGTGCTCCAAGGTTCTCGAGGTTCTCGAGGTGGATATCCTTTGGCCGTTGGGTAGCGAGGATTGGTGTGACGCGATCCACGCAGGCGTGTTTTCTGGCGGCCGACCGTCAGTGCACGGTGTTGCCCCTTCTCCGACTGCCCCGGCTAATTCCCATATCTCTCGAGGTTCTCGAGGTGGATATCCTTTGGCCGCGTTGGGTAGTTCCCATATACATAAAAGGGAGAGTTAGACAAGGAACGAGGGGCAACGCGTGGTGAGCACTAACTAACTCTGATGTTCACTCCATTATGTACCATGGATTCGTACAATGAGTCGTCACTTGAATTAGGCGTGGATGGCGGCGCGTTCACACTATCCCGTCAGAGACCGAGGCCGCATCGTTGTCATTCATGACATCGTTGCCACAGTCGCGCAACCCTAGCACAGCGCGAGCTGTGCGGGGCTCGACGATGGATTTGTGCGTCGCTGCCGAGGTCCTCTGTCGGTCAGTCACGAATGGCCGAGGTCCTCACTAGGGTCCTCACAAATTAAGAGGTCCTCACGCGGCGAGAGGTCTTCAGACACATGCCCGCGGCATCCCCGCCTTCACTCCGGGTTATGAATTGGCTCATCTCCCCCCGATTGGAGGAGTGATCGCCACCAGGCGAGCGCGTAGGATCGATACTAACTCAGGCGTGCAGCAAGCGAAAGTCCTCAAAGAGAGTGGGACTCTAAGAGGTCCTCACTGTGAAGGTCCTCATGCGCGGAGGTCCTCACTGTGCCGCGCTCTCAGACCTCTGCCCTCGCCGTGCCGCCGCTGTTCCCCGTCGCATCAGCTGCTGACCTAGGGCATGTGGTCCTCACTAGGGCACGCGGTTGGTTCTCAGGACTCAGCTAGCTAGCAAGCAATTCAGTGCGCCGATGGGGCCGAATCAAATAACAGATGCGACACCGCTGAATTGTGGTAGTGAGTATAATGTGTTGCACTAATGTGTGCATTACTGTGCGCATGCTTGGCGACGTTGAGTCGTTTCCGTCTCACGTGAATTCGATCCTGTCTCACTCTCAGCGTCCTAGTCAGCGTCTCAATCTCGCGTGTCTCGATACGGCGTGGCAAGCTCCCGACGAAGTGCCCGAGATGTGTGTCTCGCGCCTTGCGGGGGGGGAGCGGAAAGAAAGGAGGAACCTCTTCCCAAGAGCACCACGAGATTGCCGACAGTGTCCGAGAGTGTCACTCGTCTTTGGAGAGCTGCATGCAGCCAAACACACGTGTATGTATGTGTATGTAAACACACGGGCTGCCTCAGCATCACGATCAGCTCATCCATGATACACTCATTGCAGTCGGCGATCACCGCCTCCTGGTGCTTGTAGGAGTGGACCTTGTCCCGAAGACGAACGAATTGTAGCAATGCAAGCCTAACTACGTGGGGAAAAATCTTTGGTACCCTACCCCACTTTGTCCCAAATCCAGCGCAAGATAGACGTCGGTGCACATGGCACACCCCGCCATTGCCGCCCGCTGCCGCGCCGTGCTCGAGTGCCCGCTTGCGTCCAAAGAGCTCCGTGACGCCGCGCACAAGCTGCTGCGTGCTCCACCGCCACCGGCGCAACAACGGCTCTCGGACCCGCCGGCGACGGCAGCGACGGCGGCGGCCGTGTGGACATGTCGCTCCTGCACGCTGGTCAACGGGCAGGCCAACGCCAGCTGCTCTGCCTGCGGCGCGACCCGGCCTCTCGTCGTTGGCGCCGCATGGTCGTGCCGCGCCTGCACCTTTGTGAACCGCGCGCAGCGGTCAAAGTGCGAGGTGTGCGCGGAGCCTCGACATGCGCCGGGCGGCAGGGCCGACGGGAGGGCGGAGGGTGGAGGAGGAGGAGCGGGAAAGGCGGAGCAGCGGAAGAGAGCGCGCCAGGCCTTGGCGAGTGGCGACGATGACTTTGCTTCAACATAGCGTCCGTTTTTTACATCTCTTTTTTTAGATCTCGTGAGCTGCGTGTGAGCTGTGACGTGTGATCCGTGGGGGCCCGCCTGACAACAATAGAATAGTGCGAGTACTCACCTCAGAAAGTCACACCACTGCTCGTTACACGCATGAGGGCTCGCGCGCCGGGCACAGCCACAGGACGTGCGCGCAGCGACGGCCGGCCGAGCGGCCCCCCACGGCAGAGCGTCGCTGGGCTCAGGTACGTACGTGACGTCGTCAATGTATACAGTACAAGTGATCTCGGGCGGGCTGCGGTGAAAGTAGACAGCGACGAGAGCGCGACCGGCAGTGCGGGCGGCCACAACTCCCACGGGACCGGTGACCTCACGGATCGCCAATCATGCCCTGGATGATTTGCAGAGCCTGAAGGCTGCTCAGGCCGACCTTTCCACCGGAGGTCGCCATGTTGCGAATGCACGGCATGGTGGCGAGCTCGTCGACCATCGCTTGCGGCGGGAAGAAGCGATGGTTTGCCTTTTGCGGCGCCTGCGTCTCCCATCGCCAGCCAGCTTCCCAAGCCAACCGGTGGTTTCCTCCGCCGGTGGTTGCCGCAGAGTCGTACATCCGCGCGAGCGCCTTTAGCACGCTCGTCGATTGCGGCGAAAAGCACTTCTTCTGCTCGCCGTCGCGGACAATCGGCCCTCGGTCGCCGCTGCCAACGCCGCCGCCAGCGTTGCCCCAGCACTCCATCGGGTCCTGGTATCTGCCGTCTGAACCACTCGGGGTGAACCAATCGAGGGTGTGCCGCGCCTCCTCCCACACTGTCGACGGGGCGTTGGAAGCCATCGGCCGTGCCCCAGGCGCTGGCGGCTCCGGCTGAGAAAAAAGAAACCCGATTGCTCCAATTCGAAACAGACGGGACGGAGGAGCAAGGACCCGACAGCGGACGGACGTGGAGGATGGCGAGCCCGCACACCGGACATCTACCCGCGGTGCATGAAAAAGACCTGCAAGGACGGCTAAAAGGCTCCCCGTCGCCGCACCGCTCCCCGCCGCCCCGCCTCGGGACAGCGCCTCGCGCCGGCTCACTCCTCCTCCTCGAGCTCGTCCTCGTCCTCGATGTCCGCAAACTCGTCAAACACCTGACGAGATTGCACGAGATCACCCGAGATTGCTCGAGATCGCCCCTCCTCGCACACGTGAGGGCGTCAGACACCGCGATCGACTCCTTGTCCGTGAACCAGAGCGTCTCCTCCTCGGCCTCGACCAAGCCGGCGGGGCAGTCGAACGGGCCAAAGTTGCCCGCGAGCGCCTTCGCCACCATCTCGGCGCGGCCCGCCCCAGCGGCCGACACGATGACGCACTTTGCCGCGTTCATCACGTCGAGCGAAATCGCGACGAAATCGCCGTCCGCGCGCGCGTCGTTGCCCGCGAGCACAACCTGTAGCGACGAATGTCGGGGAGCAAACAACAACAATGATGGAGGTGATGCCGGTGAAGGCAATAGTAACGATGATAATCATAAGCACAGTGAGAACAGCAACCAGATTTGATGATGATTAGGGTAATGAGACTACTGACCGCAATCGGGCGAGCGCCACCTTGCCGGCGCGGCTCGCCTTGATCTCGGCAGAGTCCGGGAAGAGGCAACCGACGTGCCCGTCCGGACCCGTGCCTACCAGCAGCATGTCGACCGAGATCACCCGAGATTACCCGAGATTGCCCGAGATTCCCCGGACCCGTGCCTAGCAGCAGCATGTCGACCGAGGGGACGGCGCCTATTCACAGCGAGGGGTGTGAAGAGGCGCCGCTCGCAGCAGCAGCAGCATGTCGAGCGACGGGACGGCGCCGCTGAGTGTCTAGCCTGTGTGTCTGTGGCCTGTGTGTTGCTCTGGTGAGGCCGTCTCTCCCCGTCTCGCCTAGTCTATCCCTTTGGTGTGCCCACCCTCGCCCCCCCTGGTGTGTCCAGTCGCTGGCCAGACTGTCTCCACTCTCCACTGACTGGCCAACAAGTCACTTGCCAGGCAGTCTCTTCCCCTCTCTAACCGACTCACCGCTGTTGTCGATCGAGGCGTGCGAGGCGAGCAGGGAAGAGTAGCTCTCTGCGACAGCGGCCGGCTCGCCCTCACCAAAGGCGTGCACGTTCGCCTCGGGCACGCCTGTAGGTAAGAGCCAGGCCGTCAGTGGGTACCGTCTCACCACGGGCGGCGGGCGGACACACTCCCAGCTCGGGTAATCTCCGGTAATCTCGGGTAATCTCGGATAATCTCAAGTAACTCTCGGGGAATCTCCGCCACACGTCCGGGCACACACCTAGCTTCTTGGCCGCGTCGAGGCCGCCCTCCTTGCACGGGTAGGAGGGGATCTTCTCGTTCGCGAAGAAGAGGTGCACCTTGCTCGCGTCGAACGCGTCCGCCGGCATCTGTGCGAGAGCAGCCACCACCGAGCCTCCTGGGATGCAGAGTGAGAACGAGCCCTTCTCCGCGATGCAGGCGCGCGCCGCGGCGGCAACCTCGTCGCAGATGTCGTCGGCGTATTCGCCTGGCTCGAGAGAGACGGGCGGTGACGGCTGACTGCGGCGTAGGAAGGACGGCCAGGCTGCGGTGAGGGCACCGTCAAAGACGCGGACCGACTTGATCTCCTTTGAGATTGCAAACTCCTCGACGGCGAGCATCTGCAGGTTGCCAGCGCGGCGCGCCGGCGAAAGCACGAGCGCGGTGGCAGAGCAGCTGACAAGAGCGAGCATGATGCCGCGGAGCTGGAGTGAGAAAAGAGAAGCGATTTTCTTTCTTTTTGAGCTTAGCCTTCGTGTTATGAAACAACGCAAGGCGGACAGGGCATATCGCTCTCGGGCTCACAGACATCCCTCACACCCGCCGCACACCCGCCGCCCCCGCGCGCGCCCCACCCTGGCCGGGAGAAAGGGGAGTGACAGTTTGGGACTCGCAAGCCCGAGTATGTTGAGTCCTGGCTCAACAACGCAGATAACAAGAGGGGGTGGTCCGGCTCACAGGTCCGGCTCACGCGCCTCGAGCTCGCCATCTACCGCACTGAACACTTCCGCCCCCTCGCTCCCAACCCATCCACCCCGCCCCGGGCCGCGCCGCGCGATCTCGGGCGATCTCGCGCGATCTCGGGCGATCTCGGGGCCGCGCCGCGCTATCTCGGCGATCTCGCGCTATCTCGGGCGGTCTCGGGGCCGCGCCGCGCTATCTCGGGCGATCTCGGAGCGTCGCTCGCGCGGCGTCACACCTGCTCAAAAAGGAAGGAGGTTGGAGGCAGGAGGTCACGCCCCATCCAGAGCGCCGTCGTCGCCGGGTTTTTGGCCCCCGGGTCGTCGCCCGACGGTTGCTGCGCGGGGCAGCAGACCATCGGACGGCGCGACGACGCCCCGTCCGGCACGCTCCCCCCTCCACCCGGCTATTGCCGCACGAGCGCCCTCAGCGGCGGAATTTTTCCCTCGCGCTTCCTTGGGCCCCCGGCAACGCCGACGGACTTCCCGTCCCCCCACCTGCGCCGCAATCACCGCCGTGATTGTCGGCGCCGCGCCCCTTGGCGCCTGTGCATGTCCCGCGTGCCCGCCCGCCAAGGCTGGTGCCAAGGCCAACTCAACTGCCAAGGCTGGTGCCAGGGCCAAATCAACTGCCTGGCTGGTGCCAAGGCTCAAAGGCTCTCCTCTCTCTCTCCTCCCTCTCTCCCTCCCTCCCTCCCTCCCTCTCACCCCCCACCTCTTCTCTCCTCTCCCCCTCCTCCTCTCTCCTCTCTCCTCCTCTCTCCTCTCCTCTCCTCTCCTCTTCTCGTCCTCTCCCCTCTCCTCCTCTCCTACCCCCCCATCTTTGTTTACCGATGCGTCCTAGAATGCAAAAACGCATTCTAGGACGCACTTTTCATCTCAAAGATACCATGTGTCTCGGGTACACAGGGCATTCTAGGATGCGATGGCTGTCCTGGAGATAGCCGCGCCGTGTCTTTTGTTACGCGTTCCATCTTAGACGCCACAAGCATCTATAGATGCACAGCTGTTCTGAGATGGCACTTGCATACTAGATCACATTTTACTATACTTGGACAGGGAAGCGTCTCAGGAGACACCGTGTGTCGGGTGCACCGGGCACCGAGGGGGGAGCAGGGAGCCAGGGAGCACGAAAAGGCGGTGTGATCTCTCGGCACCCCCTGGGGGCCCTGCCTTGAGTGCTCGTGTGAGGTCTCTCCTCGCGGCCTGCCCCTCCTGGAGAACCAGGTTCTCAGCACCGCGCATGCATCTGCTCGCGCCACGAGCTCTGGGCGCAAAGACCAAAGTTGCATGCACTGCTTACGACGATCCGACGGCGACGCCGCCTCCCCCCCCCACCAACCAGTTTGCGCGGCAGGTAGCGGGGCCAGTTCGAGGCTGAGGGCGTGGGCGTGCGCCTAGACACGGAAGACAGCGTACTTCCGAGAGTCGGCCAGGGGCGGGGTTTTTCTTGTTTGACTTGGCGATTTGAGGGACCGGGCATCCCGAGCTCTGCTCTGCTCCTCGCTCCTCGCTCGGTGAGCTGTCGCCCACCAGCGCGCGGCGACCGCGCGCACACCGTGCCCGCCGGCTCGCCGCCCTCCTCACCACCCGTCGGCGCTGTCCGCAGGCATGTGAGTCAGAACGGCGACCGCGCAGCGCGCACGGGTGTCTTGCTCGCCACCACCCTCTCGCCCCCGCTCCGTGACCGCCGCCGCCCGCGCCACCGCCGCCGCCAACACCGCCTCGCGCCTCGCGCCTCGCTCTCGCCGCCCCCGCCGCCCGCCCTCGACCTCGCGACGGCGTCCTTCTGGGGATCTGCGGGTGGCTTGCCCGCCTCGCCGCCGCCCCCACAGCGTGACCGCTTCCGCCGCCCCCACAGCGTGACCGCTTCCGCTCGATCGGTGAGCCGTCGCCCACCACGCGCGCTCTCACGGCGACCGCGGGCCGCTCATCGCCTCCGCCACGTCGCAGGTGTTTGATCTGGGCAGGAAGCGGCGCTGGTGACGGCAACCGGCAGCCACGTGCACGGAGTGCTAAGCGAGGTGCCTGTGTCCAAGTCTGAGTAGCCCGTGGCCGTGAGTGGCGTCAGGGGCAGTGTTCTGTGACTGTGTCCTGTGCGTGCTGTTCAGTGTGAGTCGGTGCAGCGGTGGGCCTGCTGCCGCTGCCACACGTGAGAGCCGCTGTCCGTGCCCCAGCACGTTGCGCGGAGAGGCTATAGGGCGCCCACCCACGAGTGCTCGGGTGGGCGCGCCGCGGCTGTGCGAGTAGTAGCGCAGCAGCCGCGGCGCACAGCCGGGGGCACGGCCCGCCGCGCAGCGCTCGCCACACCGAGTTTTCTTTTTCTTTTTTGTTTTTATACGTGCGTGTATTTCTTGAGATCCACACGCTGTTCAAAATATGCGCGCGTCTTCTGAGACACGCGCTGTTCACAGTATGCACGGCGCGTCTTTTGAGACAGCAACGCCAATCGGAGATGCCGCGAGCAATTCGGGATGCGCGGAGCAACTAATATAGACTCGCGCATCTTAGGATGCTCGAGCATACCGAGGACAGCGAGCGTCTAAGTAGGAGGCCTACTAGACGCACTCTAATCCAGAGACGCATTCGGTAAACAAAGATGGGGGGGTCGCCCCCCCAGACGCCGCATCCAAGTGCTCCAAGAGCACGGACGGCGCTCGGCGGCCGGCGGGGAACATGAAATGAAAACACAGGGTCTGAACTTTCACATGTGTTGGTACTTGTAACAAAGAGAGATTTGTCCGCACATCTCATGCTTGAACACGACTCGGCTCACATGACGGAGCATCGTGGCGGAGTCTCGCCGACCTCCAGCGTCACCACTTTCAGCTCGGCTGAGCACATGCGCCCGCTCACCTCGATTGCGCGCGTCGGCGGCGGCAGCGGCAGCGCTTGCCAGGGCATGCGCCTGCGAGGCCAGACGTGCGGGGAGTGTGGGAGGGAGGAGGGTGAGGCCTTGGAGCCCCGCCTCTCGTAGCGCGCGCGCCGTTGCCGCTTGTCGAGCTGCCTGGTATGGGAGGCGCACCCGCTGGCCTAGGGTGTGAGGAAGAGCGCGTAACGAAGGCGGCACGAGTGACGTCCAGCTTAGGCTGCAGTGTGAGCGTGTAGAGGGAGCAGTGAGTGTGAGGGAGCAGTGAGTGGGAAGCTGCAGTGAGTGTGGGGCTGCAGTGAGTGTGTATGTGCGGATCTAGGCCCTCTGCGTATGTCCGAACAGCTGTGTCCGGCGCGACGACAAGGGTCAGGTCGCTGGCGCAGAAGGCTCCGCAGCAGCAGAGGCCGCCGCACGCGGGGCCGAGGACGAGCGCCGCCGAGTCGCCCGGCCACTGCATCGCCCGAGTGTCGATGACGTAGTGAGCGCTGCAGCCGCCGAGGCGGAGGCGGGCGGGCAGCGCGTCGCCGCCGCCGAGGCTCACCTTGCCGGAGCAGGTGCTGAGCTGCTCCTCGGCGGGAAGCATCGGCTGCGAAGGGCTCGCAGCCGCCGCCACGGCCGGCACGGGACGCGCGACAGCAATCGGCGTCGCAGTAGCGACGGCCGGCTGCGGCGGCGGAGGGTGGCACAGGTCGTGCTGCTCAGGGTACTGAGCGATGTGCACCTCGGGGTATTGCGGAGTCTGCATGTTTGCGATGGTGTATCAGTCTTGTATCATCTCCTATGCTATCCAGGGTTTGGACTTTCTGCGGGGTATGGTATGGCTCGAAAGTTGGGAGGGGCTACTCGGGGACAGTGCCGACGGGGCGCGGCTCGTGAGACGACTCCCGCGAAGGCACGGCTGGCATCCGTGGCGTGGGGATCGCCTTCGAAAAGTCGGGCATGGCTCTCCCCGCAACTCTATCGCTAACACGCGCGCACCACCGAGACTGTGGTGGGCGCGCTGCGGTCGCACGTCTACCTCCGTCATAGTGCCACGACGTGCGGCCTAGAATTAGCACACGCGCCTCTGCTTGAATACACTCATACATTGGATTGTCATTGCCTGTGAGTGCGAGATTAGGGCTAGCCGCAGGCAGCTAGCCTCTGAGGAGGGCGTCCATAGACACCTCACTAGACCCCACACACGGTCTCGTCCGTGCCTCGCCGGCCGGAGAGATTGCTGGAGGTAGAGCAAGCCTGCTCTAGCCTCGCATGTCACTTCCTGTCGTCTGTTGTGTCGTTGTGCCCTTGTTTGTTCTCTTGGCACCTTGGAGTGCTGGGGGGGGCGACAGGGAGGATGTGGCCTTGAGTTATGTGTAAGCCGACTCAGGGTGTGTGGCAGCCCGCTGGCTGTGTGTCTTGTGAGCTTGTTTGTGTCTGTGTGTCGCTCGTGCGTGTCGTCATCATCTGTCCAGCGTCCACCCATACCGCGTTGGTGTCCAGTCCGAGCCTGGCTGTTCTTCACCTTTCTACCTACCTACCTAGTTGGAACCCAGGTACCTAGCCAGGCCTACCTAGGTACCTAGGTAGAGCTCTACTCTCGTGAGGCTGTGAAAGCACGCCCACCCTAGCGGGATTGGGCACTTGCCCACGAAGGCAAGTGTTGCGTCTGATTCACAGCTTAGGAGAGTAGGTAGAGCTCTAGCCCCGAAAAAAAAGACGAGGCGAAGAGTCCTCTTGCAGTGTGTGTGTGTGTGTGTGTGTGTGTGTGTGTGTGTGTGTGTGTGTGTGTCGGTAGCATGCCCACCACGCTTCCCCGCGACCTTGTCCGCAGGCCCCACCGGCAAGCTGCGCACAGGCTCACGACCAGTGCGGTGGCGCGACGGGCGAGTACGCCCCGTGCTGCGAGGGCACCTCCTTCTCCCGCGTTCGACGAGGTGCCGTCCCCTCCTCTGCCCACACGGATCTCCTTTTGCGAACAGGATCCGCTTGCGAGGTGCTCACTCCTGGATACTACCAGTGCTGCCCGACCTCCCCATCGGCTGACGCGAACGCGACAAGCGACTCGTGTTTGACACGGGTGCCGCCGGAGCGATCGAATGGAGGCTGATACGGCACGAAACTTGATGTCGAAATCACATGACCTGTCCTATGAGCTATGTGTCGAGCGCGCGTGGGCGGGCGGGGGTGGGCGTGCGCATCGCACGACCATCGTGTGTGCCCGAGCTGCGCCCCTTTCTATCTCTTTTCCAGCGTGATCCGTTCGTCCCTTCTTGGGGCTAAAGCCGAGCGGCCTCATCTTGTCCTCCGAGTGCGCGCCACCGCCAGTCCCGTGCCCAGTGTCGTGCGAGGGAGCTTGTTGTTGTAAAATTCTTGTCTTTTGTATCGCGCCCGGTAATCGTCATCTGGAGGTCAGGCTTAGACGGTGGTCGGGCTTCACTCGCCCCCTACTCGGCGGCTACACCGCCACCGGAGCGCCGCCTAACACACCGCACGCGGGGCGCGAGGAAGCTCGACCACACCGTCTGGCCTGCCGCAAAAGTATTTTCCGGCTAGAGACGCGGCGAAACCGCTCTCGTGCGCTAGCACGCCCCCTGGCCGTGATTCTTGAAGGCCGTGTTGGCGACCACCTTCTGCATGTAGTACTGGCCGTTGAAGGCAGCCAGGAGGAAGAGGAGGTACGGGAGCAGCTTGTGCGGCGTGCGCACCTTGGAGTACTGAGAGAGCAAGTAGACCGCGTAGCTCGAGAGCAGGATGCCTGACAATTGGTTGGCTGTTGTCATTTACTAACCAGGGTCGGCCGCGTAGCTTCAGAGCAAGACGCCTGTTAATGTGTTGGCTGTTGTCATTTACTAATCAGGGTCGACCGCGTGGCTTTAGAGCAAAACGCCTGGCGCGCGGCACCACACCTGACGAGCAGAGGCCACGCCTCACTTTTCCACCGTGCTTTCCGCTGCACATGCTGAAGCCGCCGGGCGAAGCTTCTGCTGTGGAGAGCAGGCGTGTTCTCTACTCGCCCGGCAACACACCTGCAGCCGTGCGTTCCACACCTTCTCGCTCGAGGAGGCCATCAGCCCCTCCTATGCACAGTAGGCGCCGCTGTGAAGAGGCGCTGTTCACACCTTCGCGCTCGAGGAGGCCATCCGCCCCTCCTTGACTGCGGCGAGCATCGCGTAGTCGACGCCGCCGGGCAGCCCGCACATGAAGAAGGAGATTGCCTGACGATGAACTACTCCCTCTTAGTCACCGAGAAGTAGCAGGCCGCACGTGAAGGAGGAGGTTGCATTCTGGACAGGCCCGACGCAGTATCGGAGGCCTGGTCCGGCAAGGCCCATAGGAGCACGTCTCAAGGAGACTAGTGAATTGCGTGATCAGATTAGTTAACAGCAGCGGCGGCCTGGTCCGGCAAGGCCGAGCCCAAAGACGATGTGGTGCTGCCACTCCTCGGCCGGCACATTCTTGAAGACCGACAGGTGGTAGCCAAAGAGGCAAGGGATCATGTAGGTCGGCAGCAGGTTGCACTTGCCCAGCGACGAGTTGACCGGGTCGCCAAGCACGGCCGCCATCTCTCCAGAGCTGCTCACGGTGATCACCCAGTTCGCGAGCGTGTGGAGCACAAAGTAGCGCGCCGTGTCGTCGCGCGCGCGGCGAGCGATCAGCGCGTCGCAGGCGGCGAGAAAGGCGAGGCAGCTGCCCGCGCCGCGCGCCAGCTGGCCCAGCGTCGTCGGCCGACATGAGCCGAGCGTCAGCGTGCCTCGCCCGTCCTCCCGCTCGAACTCCTCGTCGTGCTCGTGGTGCGACGTCAGCCACTCGTCCCACGGCCGCACCAGCGCGGCGCTGGCTGCGAGTCCGGCGCCGGTGGCGAGCGCGAGCGTAGAGTTGGAGGCCGGAGGCATGGCGGCTGAGCCTCTAGCCTCGGGTGGCCGGGGCAATCGTCGACAGCCGCTGGGTTCGCAACATTGACATGGGTGGGGAGTCGCCATCTGTTGATGTCCAGTCACCTTTCTACCTACCTACCTCCAGTCTGAGCCCGACTGTTGTTCATCTTTCTACATACATACATACATCTGCTCGCGAGGGGGGAAGTTGTGTGTGTGTGTGTGTGTGTGTGTGTGTGTGTGTGTGTGTCACTCACTCACTCACTCACGGAAGTTGTGTGTCCGCGCCGTGCGCTTCCTTTCATCGAGCCCTCCAGCCCCCGCTGCACTCTTAAAATGAACTCGGGGGCACGGGACGCGGCACAAACGGGGCACAAACGCCAGGCTACAAAGACGGGGAGGCACCTAGTGACGCAGGGGAGTCTAGGCGACGGCGGCGTCCTCCGACGCCGCGGCGAGCCTGAGCTCGGTCGCAATCTCTTCCGCCGCCGCGACCGACCAGGCACCGCTACGTGACTGTCATTCTCCCTGGCAAGAAGAAAACGCTCGCGTTTGGCGAGATAAAGGTCTGGATGCGGTAGTTTGGGGGCCGACCCCCTGCCACCTCCGGGCGCCCACAGACCGAGAGATCAAAACGGGACGGCCTCTCAGACGTGATGCCTCCATGCGCCCGTCGCGTCGAAATCGACATACGAGTCGATCTTTGGCCCGCCAGAGGGATATACAACGGCGTTTTGGGCGACAACAGCGCTGCGACCGCGAAGTGGCGGTGGATATGCTCCCATGATATGCTCCCATGTTGCCGACGAGGCGCCGGAGTGGCCGGCGCTGCTCGCCGCGACCACGACGGCTACTCTGATACTCCGGGCCGGCCCGTCCTACCCGACGGTGGCACTCTTCCACGTCTCGCTCACGCTGAGAAAAGTTCTGAAACGGCGTGCAGCAGAGTCTCACCGACGAGTCGGTCCGCGTGTGACTCCTCGTGTCCCGTACTGTTCTCACACATCCATAAACTCACTTTGGCCTCACTGAAGCGATGCCTGAATCCTGCGAATCCTCAGATTTTAGATTATAGGACGCTCTGCGCCCCCTAATACGGGAGAGAGTCGGCTCAGACGGAGGTGACAGAGCCCGAAAAACACACACGAAAAGAATGATCTCGCCTCATGCAATGAGCAGGTCGCACACACTAACACCTCGAGAAAACGAGGGGAACCGTGACAAGCAATTACTGATACTGTACTCCATTGCTGGGATCTCGTGTCACTGTGTATAAAACCTGCTCCACCGCCCCCCCGCCCGGGGCCACAACCTTGCAGCAACGCCGAGCCGCGAGCGCATCCACCATACCCATTCTCCAGTCACAATCTTCTGTCGAGAGTCTCTGTAGAGAGAGAGAGCGTCACCCAAGACGAGGCACGGTGCTCCGCTCGTCGCCAGGCGGAGGCGGCCACACCGCCGCCGCTGCGGGCGACTGATCGCGAAACGGTTCCGCGGCCGACCGCGGCGCCCGCAGCGTGAGCCCTTCCAGCGGCCGCTGCACAGACTGCACCTCTACCGTGTCGCATCCTGGCCCCGGCTGGAGGGGCGGCCTACAGAAGAAAGACCGCGAATCAAGAGAAAAGAAACATTTCGGCTGTCGCGGCCCCGGCTCAAGGGGAGGCCTACAGACAAAGAAATACTCGATGCCGAACACAGAACTACGGGGTGGCCGGTCACGGCGGGAGAAGAGGCCCCGTCCGCTCGGTGGCCGCGCCCTGCCACTGCGCCTACTCTCCCAGACGCGCGTCTTCAGAGCATCGCGTTGTGGGGTGTGAGCGCTACGAAGACAGCGAAAGCAGCTGAGCAGGCGTGCTGCGCATCTAAGGCCACCGCACCTCGCTCCTGACCTCGGGACATCTCAGGAAATCTCGCATCTACGGCCACCGCACCTCGCTCCTGACCTCGGGACATCTCGGGAAATCTCGCATCTACGGCCACCGCACCTCGCCCGACGCGCTCCCGTCCCAGCCGCTCACATCCGGATCGCAATCGCCGTTCCGTCCGCCCGCCGCAGCCTCTGCCCCGCCGCCCCCGCCCCTCTGCTTTCCCGCCGCGCCGGCCCCACCGCTGCCGCCGCCTCCGACGCCGCCGCCGCCTCCCCCGCCGCCTCCCCCGCCGCCTCCGACGCCGCCGCCGCCTCGCCCGCCTGCCTCGCCGCCTCCGCCTCCGTGGCCAAGCGCCTCCGCCGCCTGTTTGAGACCTGCGACGAAGCCCGTGTCGTATTGCTCCTGCAGCAGCGTGTCTGCCTTGCGCAGCGCTTGGCGAAGCAGCTCCGTGTCGCTGCGGTGCCGCGCCTCCGCTTCCGACAGCTCGCGCTCCAGGCCGTCGCACCTCGCCCGCGCGGCCTCCAGCTCCGCCGCCACCTCCGCCCGCGCCTCTCGCTGCGCGATCTCGACCTCTGCCCGCGTCGCCGCCCGCAGCTGCGACCGCAGCTGCACCGGCGACGGCGCCTCCTCGCCGAGCCGCTGCCGCAGCACCGCGGTCTCTGCTTGCGCCTGCGCGACCCGCTGCTCCGCCTCTCGCGCCAGCGCTGCGGCGTGCGCGTTGAGCCGTCGCTCGTCCTGCTGCTCCGCCCGCCGGCGGAGCGCCGCCTGCGTCTCGGTGCCGAGCCACTGCGCCCCGAGCGCGACCAGCTCCGCCTCCGCCGCCTCGCGCCGCTCCGTCTCGGCAACCAGCTTGGCGCGCAGCTGCGAGCGCTGGCGCAGCACGGCCTCGAGGTCGGCGCGGAGCAGCGCCTCGGCGGGCGTCGAGGCGACCGCCCCGGGCTGCTCGCCCGCGCGCGCCTCCGCCCACGCGATCGCGCCGCGAGGCGCCGGCGCGTCGGCACCCTCCAGCAGCGCGTCCTCGAGGTTCGGCGCAGCGGCGGGAGCCGGAGCTCCGGTCGCGACGCCCTCGAGCAGAGAGGTCACGCTCTTGGCGAGCGCCTGCGCGTGCTGCTCGAGCAGGTCCATGCACTCGTCTGCAGAGCAGTCGGGGGCCGTTCGCAGCCGCGGCGCCGCCGGATGAGGCTGGCCAAAAAATCCGGCACTTTTTCGGTGCTGGTAGCCCCCCCAAAACAGGCGCGCGCAGCGCGCCCAGGGGCGCCGCAGGCGCCCCAAGCGGCGCGGAGCGCCGCCGCAGGCGGCGGACAGCAGGTGCGCGAAATTAAACGCCATTTTCGGTTCCGCGGTTTTGCCACTAACATTGAAATCCGGTACAAAACGACTTAGCCGAAACAGCTGACAGACAGACAGAGAGCACACACGTTCGAGATTGGCCTGTCCGAGGGTTTCCTCTCGCACCCTACCTGGTTTCCTTTCCGTGTTTCCTGCTCGTTTCCCTACAACACCCTCTAGTTTCCTCGGGAAACCCCGGGGAAACTCCGTGGAATTCGTCATTTTGGGGGGGCTCTGAGCCGTGTCTGAGGCTGTTTTGGGGCCAAAATCGGCAAAATACCGGGTATTTTGCGGGTATACCTGGAAAACCCCGGTATACCTGGAAAATACCTGGGTATCGTGCCGATTTCCTCAATTTTGCCCCAGATTTTGCCCCAGACCAGCTCTCAGACTCAGGGAAACTCGCGAGTTTCCCGAGGGAAACTCGAGAGAAACAGAATGGAGCACCAAACACCCTCTGGTTTCCCTGGAAACTTCCGGAAACGCAAAGTGCTGGGGACCCTCTGGTTTCCCTCTGGGTTGCCGGAAACCCTCGGACAGGCCAAGTTCGAGACGGGGGTGCGCCGACCGCCGTCGCGGACCCAGTAGAGCTAGATGGTCCCACAGGATGCGCCCTTAGCCTCTGAGCTCGTCCTAGACATTTTAGGGAAGCGTGGGCAGACCAGAACGCGGCCACGGCGACGCTCCCCTCCGAGGCTGTCAGCAGCGCTGGCGGCGATCGTGGCGACGGCGCCTCGCCGCTGCAGCGGCACAGAATCGAGGAAGTGGCGTTGGTGGCAGCATCAATGAGATATGAAGGCGGCCGTAATGCTGGTGGCGCCTTCGAGGGCGGCGGAGAGGGCGGTAGCAGCGACGGCGATCGAGTCATGTGGCAGGGGTGCGAAGATGCAGCAGGGAGGCTTGAGTTAGCGACGCGGGGCGGTGGCGTGCCA